TTTTTTTTTTGCCGATTTGTGCAATTCGGAGACGTCCGAGCACCGCCTAGCGCCTAAGCGCCGCCTAGGCCAATTTTTAGAATAATAATAATAATAATAATAATAATAATAATAATAATAATAATAATAATAATAATAATAATAATAATAATAATATATCAAAAAATAAAAGAAAATAAATTAAAAGTTACAACGGCTAGTTAACGATTGTTTTCAACGGCTATTTAGTATTTACAACTCTATATATACAACCACACATTATATATGAACACACATCACAAACTCTTAAATAACGTATTTTTTTCTCAAAAGAAAAAAAAAATTATTCAAACTATTTACAATTAACATTTTACTACTTATTTTGTACGCTTTGAAAATTTTCAGGATACTGTCTCATTATAAATTCTATCACTATATTTCAAGGGTCAGGTCTTTGTCTCACGTGTTTCCTATTAGTCATTCTAATTGACTTAAATATTTTAGTGTGAAGTACAATAACTATATTGTTAATATTTGTCTTTTAAAATCATAATAATTCGTTACAACTCATACTTAAATGAGAAGTGGAATAGCAAAATTATAAAATACAAGAAATCTAAGAGCATATTATTTACTTGCTACAAACATTTACACCGCCCAACCCAAGTAAACGGGCCAACCCTAGTAATTTTCGAGTTAGCCTTATCGAGCTTCGAGCTAAACGATTTGGGCCTAAAAAACCTTGATATAAACGGGCTACCAATAAAGGGCCCTAATTCTGTTGTTTTACGGGTTAAACGGGCTAGCCCATTGGGCCAAAGACCGTTTAACATCTCTAGAATAGACAATGTAAAAAGTGATTTGTAAATCGTAATTTAGAATAGAAAAATGAAAGAAAATTAGAATATGGTAAGATTGCTAATTGCCCAAACTAGGAAAGAAATTTGCACTAAGAGAAAACAAATAACAAAACTAAATGTACACTAACCAAGTTTGAAGAAAGTTATTTATGTGTAATACAAAATTCAATTCCAGAGCAAAAATGAATATACAAATAACATTCTGAAGCATATATTTTTGTCATGTCAGCATCCGAAGCGTATGAGTCTGCCGCTTAGACTCGACACGTTTTGAATTAATATATATGGAGGATTTGTGCTACTAGGTAAAAATAAATAAATAGTTGTTTGGATTGTTAATAATTATGAAATAAAAATAGAGTAATTAAAATTAATACAATATAAAATTTCTAAATATCGATTGATAATGGTTGGTTGTAAAATTAATATTTGATTGATCATCATCCAATAAAGCTATAGATTTACTACTCATCCTTTCTTTAGTGAAAATATCTATTTTCACCCCGTTTTGAAGTGTTGTTAAATTTTTCACACCATCCAATGAAAAGCTAAGTTTTTCACCCCAGAAAGTGCAAAAGGCATTGTGCGATGAATATGCGACAATTGCGCGATGACATTGTGCAAAAGTTAAAAGTGTGAAGGCATTCTCATATCCCTTCGTAATTTCTGGGATAAAAAAAAGTTAAAGTGCGAAGGCATTGTGCGATGAATATGCAACAGTTATGCAATTGATATGCAACAGTTTTTCACATAACATTCGCATATGCGACAGTTATGCGATGAATATGCGACAGTTTTCGCATAACCTTCGTACTTTTAGGGCTGAAAAATTAGTTTTTTATTGGGCAGTGTGAAAAACATAATGTGCCTTCGTATTGGGATGAAAAAGATTATTTTCTCTTTCTTTTAAATAGTACAGCTGTAAGCCCCGACCCAAATTTATATATTTAGCTCGACTTTATTTATCCAAATTAGTAATATTTTAATTATGCCAAAAATTATTGGTATTAATCGCATAATTTATTTATTTTTAAGTCTAAGCCATAAAGAGAGCGTTCTATTTATTATTTCGGAAACGAATATAAAATCCTAAGTCTAAGGCTCGATTATTTATTTTTAACGGGTATTAGAAAAGTCGGGAATTGATTTAATTCCCGAACAAACCCAATTATTAGCCCAACTATTTAATCGAGACATTTTAAATCCTAGCCCCGAATTTATTTTTAATAATCGGCCCATTTTAATTTGAGTGGTCGAGTTAAATTCCGTATCAAGTGGCATTTTTTTTTTAAAAA